ATACTACCCATACATATCATTCGCTATTAAGATTTTACTACGAATAGTATAAAAACCATAACCTACCTCCACCGAAGATTTTTGATCAAGCAAGCAATTTCCCAAAGCTTTGTTCTTCTTCGTTTCCCTCTTCTGTCGATCGTTTCTCTTTCCCTCTCCTTGTTCTTTCTATTTTTCTTATTCAAACCCTTCTTTCTTTTACCCTAATTAGCAAATAATTAAGAGTAAAAGATGGCAATAATAACCCACTAATTAACTTAAGGTTACCTCTTTTAACCCCCAAGTAATGAGACTTAATAAAATTAACCCACTAACTTTATAATTAATGCAGGAATAGTCCAAAACGCCCCTTAAAATAATTACAGAAATCCGACCCAGCGTGGGATTACGTAGCCTGTGACGGCCCGTCCTGCTGCTCCGTCACAAACTTCAGAGGCTCAATTTTCTTAAAAGTCTGTGACGGTCCATCCTGCCATTCCGTTACGAAATTCAGAGAGTCGATTTCAGTACCCAATTTTCAAAATTCTAAGTATTTTGGAACGAGATACCCTCGACGGTCCGTCGTGCCTACGATGGTCCATCGTGGGGTCCGTTGTCGCTGCCAGTTTTTCCAGAATCAAAGTCTGCTTCTCAAAACGACTAAACAGGTCGTTACATAATAATAATAGTAATATTAATAATAATAAATAACAATAATAATAATAATAATAATAATAATAATAATGATGATGATGATGATGATATTGTTAATAATAAAAAAAAATAGTAATAGTAGTAGTAGTAGTAGTAGTAGTAGTAATAATAATAATAATAATAATAATAAAATAATAATAAAAATAATAATAATAAGAATAATAATAATAATAATAATAATAATAATGTAATAATAATAATAACAACAACAACAACAACAATAATAATAGTAATAATAATATTAATAGTAATAATAATAATAATAATAATAATACTTATGATAATAATAATAATAGTAATAATAATGGTACAATAATAATAATAATAATAATATTAATAATAATAATAAATAACAATAATAATAATAATAATAATAATAATAATAATAATAATAATAAGAAGAAGAAGAAGAAGAAGAAGAAGAATAATAATAATTATTATAATAATAACAATAATTGTAATAATTAAAATAATAATAATAATGTTGATGATGATGTTGATGATGATGAAGATGATGATGATGATTTATATTGTTAATAATAATAATAATAATAATAGGAATAATTTTAATAATAATAATGATAATAACAATAATAACATTTGTAATAATAATAGTAATAATAATAATAATTACAATAATAATAATAATAATAATATTATTATTAATAATAATAATAATAGTAATAATAATAATAATAACAATAATAATTATATTAAGTACAACAATAAAAACAAAAATAATAATAATAGTAAAAATAATAATAACAACAATTACAATAATAATAGTAATAATAATACTAATAATAATAATAATAACAATAATAATAATAATAATAACAACAGTAATAATAATAGTAATAATAAGATTTAAAGAAACTTCTTCTCTCCCAAAATGCTCTCAGCGTAGGTTAGTTAACCTGCTCAGGGAAGGTGAAAATGGCGAGGGGAAGAGAACGAGGACGAGGTAGAGGCTGGAAAACGTCAATAATGACAGTTGATAGACCAGTTATAGCTCGGGTGGAAGCATTAGAGGTAAACAAACAGCAACAAGCTCAAAATGAAGAACGAAAATATGAAGAAAAAGTGACTGAGAGTTCAAAAATAGCTAGGGATTGAGCTTTAATTTTGTATTGGAAAAAGAGGAAGATTATGAGAGCTCAGATCTAGTGCAAATAGAAGCTGAGAACAAGATGGAAAGCAATGGAACTGTAACTAAGAAGCTGGATGGAAACAATGCAGATGATGAGAGTAATGGAATAAGAGGAGCAGAATTGAGCAAGGATAAGGAACCCTGGGTTAATATGTTTAAGAACAACCGTGCAGCTAACAATGGTTTGCAGCTGGCATATTTCCCACCACAAATAGTTAATGGAGAAGCAATGGTTCAACTGGAAGAGAAAGAAGTTCAGGATGAAGAAGCCAAATGGAAGTGTGCACTCATAGCTTATGTAGTAGGTGAGTGTCCTGGGTATAATGCCATGAACAGATATATAATGATGAACTGGTCCAAAGAAGGTAAACCAGAAGTGTTTTTACGTGAAGAAGGGTATTATATAATTATGTTTTAGAGCCTGGTTGATATGAATGAGATTCTATTCTCAGAGCCATACACTATAAGTAATAGACCTATCATTATGAAGCAATGGTGCCCAGAATTTGATTTTGGAAAGGAATTCTTAGCTGAAATACCCTTCTGGGTTAATTTTGCAAGGTTACCTCTTAACTGTTGGGGTGTAGGATCACTGAGTAGAATAGCAAGTGCTATAGGGGGTGCCTTTATTTGCTGATGAGTATACTACAAAGCAAACAAGAATTTCATATGCTAGAATGCTTATAGAAGTTAATGTTACTAAAGCTATTCCTCAGCAGATTACAATTGTAAATCCAAATGGAAGAACATTCTTGCAAGAAGTTGTGTTGGAGTGGAAGCCCCAGTATTGTGACAAATGCCAAAAGTTTTGACATCAATGTCAATCTGTAGTACAGGAGGACATGCCAAAGAAGAAAAAGCCTTGGAAGAAAGTCACACAGACATGGCAGTATAAAGGGAAAATTCAACAACAGTAGAAGAAGTATGAACACATGGAGAGGCCAGTAATAGATGGAAATAATGTACAGAAGGAGAATCAAGAGATAGAGAATGAAGAAGAGGAGGAACTCAAGCAAACACCAGAGCTCAATCTGAGGCCTCATACTGGAAGCAAGCATCTGGAGTTCAGCCTATCAAATTTTCCTATGCTTTCAGCTATACCAGTTAGAAATGAATTTGAGAGTTTAAGGAATAGTAAACTAACTTCACTGCCTGTTGATAGAGGTGGAGACCTAAAGACTTGCTAATGAAGTGGAGTGTTTGGAAGGTGAGGGGTATGAATAAAAGGTATAAGTAGAAGGAGATTAGGATGCTTCTACAACAGAATAAGACTTCTTTAGAAGGGTTAATTGAAACAAGAGTTAAAGAGACTAATAGCCAAGCTACTTTAAAAGCAATAGCTCCAGGATGGAAGATCATACACAACTATAAGGAAGCTGCAAATGGTAGAATATGGATAGTATGGGATGGTATCTCGTATGATATCAAGTTAATCAAAAGTTCAGCTCAAATGGTTCATTGTCAGATAAATGAAAGAAGCAAAGGTTATCATTTTAATATCACAGTGGTTTATGGATTCAATACCTTAGAAATGAGGAATATCTTATGGAATGAATTGAAGATGGTAGGTCACAGTCTTTCTGAGCCTTGGCTCATAATAGGAGAGTTTAATGTTATTTATCTCCTCAAGATAGATTAGCTGGAGCTCCTCTTACTTTGAATGAGATCAAGGATTTTAAAGAATGTGTTAAGGATATGGTAACTACTGAAGTACAATGGGAAGGTAAGTATTATGCTTGGACAAATAAACAGGTTGGTAATGCCAGAATTTCTAGCAGAATTGAAAGAGACTTTGGGAATGATTGTTGGATGGATAAATGAGGTCATGCTATTATAGAATATGGGAACCCAGGGGTGTCTGATCATAGTCCTATGCTCTTGTTACTTCATAATAGTTATAATCAGATCAGAGTGAGTTTTAAGTTCTTTAATGTTTGGATTCAACATGAATCCTTTATGGAAATGGGGGATACAATCTGGAAGAAGGAATATGGAAGTTAATTAATGAAAGGAATATGTATAAGTTGAAGGCACTCCAGCCAGTCTTGAGGCAATTGAATAAGAGAGAGTTTCAATACATAGGCCAAAAGATTGAGAAGGCAAGAAGTGAACTTGAAGATCTTCAAGAGAAGCTTTATAACCAAGGACAAGATGAGCTAGTTAATAAAGAAAAGGAGTTAGTAATAAAGCTGGAGAAGTGGTCAATTATAGAAGAAAATGCTTTAAGGCAAAAAGCAAGAGCTAGATGGATCACATTGGGAGATGCAAACAATAAGTACTTCAGTTCAGTGATAAAAGAAAGAAATCAAAAGAAACATATTAGAAGTAAACTATCACTAGATGGAAAGATGTTATATGAACCCAAGAGATTCAAGAGGAGTTTGTTAAGTTCTATAAAAGTCTTATGGGGTCTTCAGCAGGTAAACTTCTAGCTATAAATTCTTAGGTGATGAAGAGAGGCCTTGTGGTATCAAGGCAGCAAAGAATTCAATTGTGTACAAATGTAACAGAACATGAGATCTATACAACATTGCAGTCTATTGGGAATGATAAGGCACCAGGGGTAGATGGTTATAATGCATTATTCTTTAAACATACCTGGAAGATTGTTAAGAAAGATGTTATTGCAGTTGTCAAAAACTTCTTCACAACAGGGTATATGTTTAAGCCTTTCAACTGTACTCTTGTGTCTTTAATCCCAAAGGTTCAAAGTCCTAAAAATGTGAAAGAGTATAGACCAATTGCTTGTTGTACTGTGATCTATAAAATCATTTCAAAGGTGATAACAAGAAGAATGCATGATGTGATACCTGATATTATATGTGAGAGTCAGGCTGGATTTATACCAGGGAGGAAGATTGCAGATAACATTATACTGGCTCATGAGTTGGTCAAGACTTATACTAGGAAGAATATCTCTCCTAGAAGCATGCTTAAGATAGATTTAAAGAAAGCCTATGATTCAGTTGAGTGGTCTTTTTTAGCACATGTAATGGGAGGATTGGGATTCCCAGAGATGTTTATTCAGTTGGTGATGCACTGTGTGAAAACTGTGAATTGCACTATTGTTGTTAATGGACAAACTACTTAAAGGTTTGATGCAGCAAAAGGCCCAAGACAAGGAGATCATATGTCACCATTTTTGTTTGCTATAGCA